TCACAGTCCCGCCAGGAGCAGGTTTGCGCCAAACTTTTTTTTTTTTTTTTAAATCAATATTGGTAGAAAATCCAAAACAAGTGAGAGGAAGACAGAAAAACACAAAACAGTGAGTCCCCACCCAAACCGTATATTTGGTTTACACTTAGCTTTAAAAAACAAAACTTTTAACTAATTTGAAGGTTTGGAAGTTTGTAAAAAAAAAAGAAGAGTTGTCAGACTTCCTGTTTGCAAAAATGCATATTTCCCAGCGGCATTGGCGAGGAGAATGTTGTGTTTACATTTTATTTATCTCCAAGTCTCCCGTGAAATATTTTTTCTCTATCAGTTCTGAGTTGGTTTCAGTAATTCAATTCCAAATCTCTGCATTGCTGCGTTGTCTTGGACGTTCATTCTGTGGACGTAAAACAAAGATAAGGGGAGGACGACTAGAAGACACTGGGATTGATGATGTACATTAACAGCAGCAGACTGACGAGATACATGACCTGGATACGTTTCAAAGCCCAGCGGAGCTCCTGAAACGTCTTCTAACGCCGACCTCTAACCTCCTGTTAAAGGAGATCAGAAGAGAACCTCTACTTTGAATTCAGTTGACAGTCACCACAGATGATGACCGCCACGCGGCCAAACGCCGGTGAATTTGTCTCGCCTGGCAGCTCAGCAGCTCCGGCTGCCTGCCAGTCACTGATGGACCACTTGGCTGGAAGTTGCACGCTTGTGTTCGGCTTAAACAGTAGATTCAAAAGACGGCGTGAATGCAGAAATCCACTGACGCCTTTAATTCCACAACGGCGGTAATCACTGCTCCATTACAGTCAACCTAACTGTTAAGACCATTTCCCTGCAGGCACCTAATTAAGCAGGCAGCGTAATATAATGAGTCATGAATGCATTGTTATGGTCCATAGATTTATCGTAAACTACGGGCTGTTCTAGTGCCTTCATGAGACTCATTTTGTCGAGAGGTTCTATTCATCAGTTTTTTCATTCCTCTGGCTGTTTATATCTGATGGTCTTTGTTTTTGACCCTTGACCTTTATCACAGCTGCTTGTTTGAAATTCTAACAAACCACAGTTTTGGATATTTGCTGTTTCTGACTATTTTTTCACTCACTGTACGTGTTTTTCAGGTGACAAGCCCCTGCTGAAAACGTTTGAAGACCCGTCCACGTGGGAGGTGGCCTTGAGGCCCATGGAGATCCGAACCTTCCTGCTCAGAGTCAGCCTCAGATAGCCAATCACGCGTCAGATTTTTACAGGAAGTGACCGATGAATAAGGAATTATCGGCGTAGTGAAGTCCGTGTGGCATCTTGCTTCAGTTGATTCGAACAAGCGAGGCCAGTTTGAACACCACTTACAAAAATGTGCAGATACCTAAAAAAGGATGAAAAGGGTTCTGTGTATAAAAAAAAAAAAAAAAAAATGAGAGGCTGCATTCATACTGCTGCAGGTTTTTAGTGTGAATGCAGGGATGCACAGACATACCTGAGCAGGGATTCCAGAAACATGTCAGGGTCGTGTTATTTTTAACTTTACAACGAGGGGGGAGGAAAAAAAAAAGATTTTAAGATGCTTTTGGAAACTTACTGAACGTCTGCACGTGATCGTCCTGTGAGACGTACAGTAAGTACAAAACCCTGAACTGCTGAAGCTGCCTTTTGGAAAGACAGTATTTCATCCCACAAAACAGACCCTGGAACTGTTTTTTTTAAAGAATTCTTATTTGTTTTTCAGCACATTCACTTTTAATACACAGAAAATCCTTTTATAGAATCCTTTTATTACACAAACCTGTGCCAACTCGTGTAAATCTTTGTATTTCTGCCAATATGTGTAAATACTTTGAAAATGATTTTATACTGATCGTCCCGCGGCTGACAATAAAAATCTATCATTCTTACTTTGTTGCTTGCATGTTGGTGTCAAAAATCCTCCGCACCATCAGCGAGGCAGGATTCCCTTTGACAGTTTGACATCAGAGCAGATGTTGCTGCTGGAGACCTTTTTCAAACAGTGACGCAGTCGTCTGTCTCTGATCTGCAGCGTTTCTGAAAGCAGGAAGGCAACGTTTTGATTGGAATTTAGAGTCTCAGATGATAAAAGGAATTTTACTGTTAAATTCCTGCTGGGGGCCCAGAAAAGGAACTTTAAAGCAGACTTTAATTAGGTTATTGCTGCTTAATTTTTGAGTCATTCTTTGTCTCTTAACCTATTTAAGTTTTAGTCACATGCTAAACTAGGAAGTAGTAAAAACAGAAGTTAGACAAAACCTCCTAAAATGCAGTCCCATATGAACATACAGTGGAGCCCAAAATTATTCATACCCATAACGACTGAGAAAGACATTGTGTTGGAGATGTTGATGATGATTTTTTTTTTATTATGTACTAAACTATCCACACAACTTAAATTTGTTGAGAAAATGGAGATTCTATACTCCTGGTTCTATACTTGGTCCTGCTAATTTCAACCATGTTCTCCAGCTGATGCAGTAGTTATGAGTCGTGGTTAAAGCCAAAGTTGAGTATGTTTGCTACGAGGGTTCATTACTGCAAGAGTTGTGCATTGTGGCCACTCATCAGCAAAAGGAACAAGGGTTTCTACGCTATGAAAAAAACGTTAAAGTGCTGGTAGAAAGCCAACAGTAACAGGCAAGAATGGTAGAGGACTCCGTAGATCACCAGGAAGATCATCCTGATGAATCTGAGCTGACGCCGAAGGCTGGTCTTCATGAAAACCCATCAAGGAGGACACGATGTCTTTGAGGCAGACACATAAAAACTCACCTGCACAAAGAAGAAAGCTTTTAGTTAACAGATTCCGTCAGATGAGAAGAAAATGGTCGGACACAGGGATGGAGCTTTCATTTAGTGAAAGAACGGAGAAGCATTTAACCCCCGAGAACAACATCTCCACAATCCAACACAACGACGGGAATTTAGTGCTTGGAGGATGATTTCAGCCGATGGACTGGCAGACTTGTCGAGGTGAACAGCATCATGAGAAAAGACTTTAGGATTCTGGAGAAGAACATCAGTCTGCAGACAAACTTCAGTGCTTGTACAGTATTGGACTTGTAGAAACACAGTGATCCAACACATACAGCCAAAGTGGTGAAGAAATGACTAACAGAAAATAATATGACCATCCAGACCTCGATGTGAACGACCAAAGCCTTCAACTTCACAGACTTGGAGATCATAGCAACATGAAAGATTCTGGGCTGAACTGTACACGTCGCTCTGTTCTTAGCGGTTCCATTTGTTAGGTCAGCTCCACGATACCCTTTTAAAGGAAGGAGATTAAAAGGCTAAACTCAGTATCAAAAACCT